GTGCAGTAGCTGCTTATCTGGCCCCTGGTGTCCATTCCAACCACCCATAGGGCATCAGGGGTATCATTTTAAGTGGTAAATCAGATCTCGTCACTGCCAGTGGCCACCCGTCTAATAGAGTGGCAGAGCTAAATTCAAGCTTGTCACCAAAAGGATTTTTTTTTAGATGTTCACTATACTCAAAGCACCCTGTCTATACTGTTATTTTCCCTTTAGCAGGGTGAGTAAATAAAGGTTCAGAGAGAATAAGTAGCTTATCAAAGGCTGCCCAGTAAGTTAGTGGAGGAGCCAGGGTTTGAGTTCCATCTGTCTAAACCCACGATTCTTGCTGTTAATCACAGTGGTGAATGGATGTCCCGTAATCACTGTGCTATAGAGAGCAGAGACCTCACAACACAGGTGCTCTCAGCCCCTTCCCAGGCTGGGAGGCTCAGGAAGGGTCAATGTGAATCCCTTGACTGCCTTTCCCCTTGAAAGTACCTTTCAGACAGGAGAAAGGGTATGGGGCATTCTCTCCAGTCATAGGCTCCTGTTCCTTGGGTTGCAATAAGACTCAATCCCCACAGAGCTTTATTGCAGGCTTCCCTATGTATTCCCTGCCCACTCCACCCTGTCTCAGCTTAATGTTCCCATTACCCCCTGCCTTTTAGCTCCTCCCCCAGAAAGTTCTTAGCCTTGACACAAAGGAAATGCCTTAGCCACGGCTAGCATCCAACTGAGATATCTGAAATTCTGTGTCCAGTAACATAGCAGGAGGAACTCTAATACACAGACACACCACTGATTCTGTGTTGATATTGTCGTTGCAGACAGACCAGCTTGAGAATTAAGCTCCAAGTACATATTCCAACGTCCAGTATATAATTTCTACCATTTGAGTGTCTACTGAACATTAGTCAGTAATCAGATTTTCAGGGTGATATCATATATTCTTCAGTCCTGAATATTACCAGTAACTTAGTTCTACTATATGCATGGTTACACATGTATATAACTTTATATTTAAATACTTTCAGATTAATATAGTTTTATATATTGTATATATCATATGTTTACATGTCTATCCCTGTAACTTTAGTTACGAGCTAAATGCTGACAACTCCCAAATTTATATCTCCATTCCAGACATTGCTCCTAAGCTCCAGACTCATATATCCAGCAGCCCACTCCACATCCCCACTTTTGTGTCTCCCAGACACACAAACTCAGCAGGTCTGAAACTAAACTCATGATCTTCCTTCCAGAGCCTGCTTGTCCTCCTGTACGCCGGAGATGGCAGCCGCCATCCCACCAGGTGTTCAAACCAAAAATCCAGAAGCCATCTTTAACTCTACCTCTCTTCCCTACCTACCAGACCAATCCATTCCCAAGTGCTGACAACTTCACCTCTTAAACTCACTCATGTATCAATCCACTCATTTTTTAAATAGTTGATTACTTTGCTGCATGGTATAAAAATTGGATGATACAACAGTAAACAGGACAGCTATGGTCCTCACCTCTCAGAGCCCATAGTCATAAACCACAACAGGACATTTTGTTGAATGAATGAATTATATACATAAATAAAGAAAATTTTATATAGGATAGGGACTTCATATAATTTCATTAATGTGCAATTACATATTTCATGCTAGATCGCATCAAGGACCATCTATAGAGAGGCAGGATATAGTAGCTAAGGGCATGGACTTTAAGATCAGATAGAACTATTTGATCAATACATTGATAAGTTCTTATTACACACCTAACCATGTGCTAAGCACTGTTCTGGGCATTAGGAATTCGCCTAATAACAAGCAAAGTCTTTACACCCTCCCAAGATCTCAGAACACTTTCCTATGTTTGAGAAATTCCTCATCTTGATGGAAGGACACATTTCTTCCCTCTAAGGAAGCTATATGCTCATTTTCTTGAAGTCCCTTGCAGCTAAGTTGCAGGCATATAGCCTAGGCTTAGCCTATCAGAAGCCACTGTAAACTATCTTAGGCAAGGAAGGTGACAGGCACTAGGAAGGATCTTTTTAACAAAAGTGGTGGCAGCTACATTCATCTCCCAGAGGCAGCAGCAGGACAGATTCTGGCATGAGCGACCTAGTGGCAACATTAGCAGTATAAGCTGCTGAACTAATTCGGTGACATGATTCAGGATATTGTTCCATGCTTGGTTTACCAGGGTCACTCAATATCTTTTATGAAATTATTTCTTTGTTTCAACTAAACAATATTAGGTTCTAATGTTTGCAACTAAAATTCCAAGGTGATATGCCTGGGTTGAATCTCAGGCTCTTAATATATAAACTGGATGTTTCTGGGAAAATTATTTAACTTTTTTCAACTTCAGTTTCCTCATCTACAAAATGAAAAGCATTCAGTGCATGAGCTCATGGGTATGTTGGGAAGGTTGGTTGTGGTTTTGTGGGATCTCCCAACTCTCGACGTGATCTTATGAAATAATCATCATTCTAAGAATTCAAGAAATAGATTTTCATCTTTCCCTGCCAGAAGCCTCCTTCCTGAGCTTCCATCATTTCCCCAACTTTGGGAATTAGAACCATGCCTCCTGCAAAGGTGGTAGAATTCAGAGTCAGACATGGGTGCAAATATTGGCTCTGCCACTTGCCAGCTCTGCAGCCTCATGTGTGTCATTAGCATTGCATGTTCCTTAATTGCAGAATGCGATCTTCATGCCCCTGTACATACCACCAAACTCCAGAAAATTAATAGCCCATATCCTAAATGCTATTGTTTTTCAGGAATTTATCAGATAGTAGGGGAAAATAGTCATACCATCTGTTCCTCTGATATAGCAATCAACAATTTGCTATGTTTCTATATTATTTGAAATTCACAGCAACCTTGAAAGAGGTGTGTAGAACAGTTGTCTCAATTCTGACTTCACAGAAGAAGATATTGAGGGTCAGAGTCATTGAGTTCAAGTCAGTATTTTTTCTATTATAGTCAACTATTTTCTATTGTAGTCTTAGGAGTGAGCAGGACATTTCAGTTATATCTTTTGTGTTTTGGATTGAATGTTTTATTTAAAAGATAACAAATTAAAGTTGCTAGTTTTTTCTTGCATACCAGACATTAATCATTTGAATATCTTCCTATTTTTGGAAGAGCTACCTAGTATGTGACCTGACTGTGAATGACAAAGAGAACTCTCCCTGCTCTCTGAATGTAGGCACACAATCTAAGAACAGTCCATGGGGTTCTCCAACTTAGGCCTGTGACTACTGAGCAAGGAATTCAGTGACACAGAGAAAATTGAGATGTGGCAGCAAGGTTCAATGCTAGACTCCCGAGGATCCAGAGGTGGCAGCAATGCTGATGTAGTGGCCACATGCTGGCAAGCACTTCCTGCTGAGGGACTTCTGCTGTTGCCTAACTCCTTGGGATACATGCATTTCCTAAGCTTGCTTCTCTGGTCTTCCATCAACTTTGGAAGCTCCCAATATATTTCCAATACATGCATTTTCTTGTTAAACTCTGTTGCTTGCATCCAGTACCCCTGAGTGGTACTGCCAAGGGAACAGCAACATGACATTCTGAGATGTTCTAATACACGTGGCCTCAGAGCAGGATTTATGGGTAGACTAGTCTGGCTTGGGCTCCATCCAAGCTCCAAAGTCTGGAAGGTTTTGAGTATCAAAGGCACTTGAGTTGCCTACAGGGTAGACCCATAACAATGATCACAGGGACAGGGCCATGCTCCTGTGTTCCGTGGACTTTGTCCGCACTGTACATTCTACCACCACGTATAGGCACCCCTGAAACACAAACAATTCATGACAAACCAGTCTAGTGAGAGAACATCTGAAAGGGCACTGTGAGAGGGTATTTTCAAAATGTCCTTAGTGAACAGCTGCCATTGAGAAGGATGTGGGTGGACGTGGGCTCAAGGCAAAAGAAAGGCAGGTTCATTAGAAAGCCTAATGAGGACTTTGTTTAAGAACTTCTTTGTGCAGTGCAAACACTTCATGATTTCTATAATTTCAGAGTCTTCAGATAAGCCCTGCTATTTATCAAAAGGAAGAGGCCCATAAAACTCTGCAATTAGGCTGTGATGGAATCCTCCCAAACTATTAAAATCTACTTCCCGTGGGTCTCACAGTCACATTTCACACGTTGAATCGCTTTCAAAGCAGTTCCTAAGATCACTATTATCATCTTTGTGTTGTTTATTTCACAGATGAGGAAACTGAAACTCAAAGAGGTTAAGTGACTTGCCCAGGGTCACACAGGTATTAAGTGGCAGAGCTGGAGTTGAGCCCAGGTCTGCCTGGTTCCAAAAGCCACATTCTTTCCACTAACCCATAGTGCTGTTTTCCTTCCCAAGGCAATTGTCAAGATCCTTTGCCAAGAAGTGCTGACAACTAATGCCTCTGACAGTGCAATGAACAGGAAGTCTCTAGGTGGCTGGTGACATGTGGGAGTGGCTGCTCATGAGATACGGGAGGGTAGGGATGGGCCAGGCTGTCAGAGAGGCTGGGTGATTTCTGACTTGGTTTGTTTTTCTCAGGAAAAAGTCCTAGTGGGGTCAGTAATCCAGGAAGGGTGAGGAGGAGAGAGAGGAGTGAGGGGTGGGGTTTAGGAAGGGATGGGCACGAGAGAGAAAGAGAGAGATTTTACCCTCATTCCTGTCCTGAATGGGGTTACAAGCCCAAAATCCAAAAGAGCACTCCTCTATGGAAGCAGCAAGTGTCCCTTCAATAAGCCCCCCCAGCACCGGTTCTGTCCCCAAACTCTGAGGCTGTGCTGCAGCGCTCCATGCTGGCGGACTCTTCCATCACTCTTGTTTCTTGGTTGGCCAAGAACCTCTTTGGGGTGGGGGGGGACAAAAAAGAACGTCTCTGTTGTATTGATTTGGGATAGGAAGTGGGAAATGGAGTAACTTTTCAGCCATGAACAGGGTGTCCTTGGAGATGACTTAATTAACATACGATTTGCTTCACTTTGGAGCCTTCTATGGGCAAAGTCTACGCTGCCCACCAGCAGCCCAAGGAGAACACCCAGAGCTGCAGAAGATAGACAGGAAGAGCAGCCTGTTGAAGGGGACAGAGGACTGATCTCCCCTGAAGGGACAGGTACCCCCAACCCTGACTGGGGATTGACTATGACAAAAACATGGGGAACATGCAAGGGAGACAGGCTTGCCCCACTGTAGATATCCACTGCAATGAGGGGGATTTCCCCTGAACACACCAGGCCACTTGTCCCACCTCTGTTACTCACAGGGGAGACACAGTGAGTTGAGTTACCCGGCTAGTAAACAACAGCCAATTGTCTAGGTTTTACAATGAGTGGTGCTAATTCAAGATTCTGAGAAGGAGATTTGACCTCTCTCCATCCTTCCCTATCTGGAGAAGTGTATGGCTCTGTAGACTCCAGTTTACTTGTAGGTTGGTTGCCCCAAGGTCAGTCTGAGGGCTGAGAGGTCAAAAATCCCTCTTGGGCTCACTCCAAGTACTTGCTCCAGTCATAAAGGTGACCACTCAGCCCCATTCACCTCACTCTTTTGTCTCAGTTCAGAAGCAGAAGAGAAAGAGGAGATATTGATCATGCTTCCTCAAAATCCCAGTTACAAAATGACAGTTGTCATTATTAACATCACCATTGTCATGCTTGTGGAGCGAATCTATGAATAGTGGAAACTTAGGATTCTCATCTCCATTGGTTTAGTCAGAGATGTCCCAATGGGTTTGAGTCATAATCAAGAAAGACGCAATCCCAAACACCATAATCCCAAGTGTTTAAATGCCCAAAGATCAAAATCACTATCCAAAAAAGATCAAAATCCTGCAAGTATAATTCTGGCAAAAGTGATTTTTAAAAATTCCTTAAGCATTTTTAAAAGAGGATCTATTTGAGAAACATAAAAAAACAGGACACTTCATAGGCCTCTTTACACAATAATAACATACATATTTTGGCAAGCATAAACACTCAAGTATACTCACAACAGTAGCACGGGTATAACAGTTATGAGCAGGTAAGCCATATTTACAAGGAAATAGGTTAAAAAGCAAATCATATAAGTGTCTATCACTATGACTGGTAATTGTATGCACCCAGCTTTACGACTGTGGTCATCTGAAATACCGTGATGGACAACCTAAGTCTTTTGGCAAGATTGATCAAAAACCACAATGAGTCACTACCACATTTGCAGTCACCCAAAGAGCCAAAATCTTGAGAAATTTTGTCTTTCACAAATACAGATGTCCAAAAAGGACACCTCTTAGGAAGTTTCAACATTTTTACATACACTCATAATGGTTACACAGAAAGCCAATATTGTTGTGTATTTTCATGGATTCAAAAGGCCCCCCCCCCGAAATGCAAATCAAAACCACAATGAGATATCACTTAACCCCAGTGAGAATGGCCTTTATCAAAAAATCTCCAAACAATAAATGCTGGCGTGGTTGCGGAGAGAGAGGAACACTCCTACACTGCTAGTGGGACTGCAAACTAGTTCAACCTCTGTGGAAAGCAATATGGAGATACCTTAAAGCGATACAAGTGAATCTACCATTTGATCCAGCAATCCCATTGCTGGGCATCTACCCAAATGATCCAATGACACTCTACAAAAAAGACACCTGCACTCGAATGTTTATAGCAGCACAATTCATAATTGCAAGGCTGTGGAAACAGCCCAAGTGCCCATCAATCCAAGAATGGATTAATAAAATGTGGTATATGTATACCATGGAGTACTATTCAGCTCTAAGAAACAACGGTGATATAGCACATCTTATATTTTCCTGGTTAGAGCTGGAACCCATACTACTAAGTGAAGTATCTCAAGAATAGAAAAACAAGCACCAGATATATTCTCCAGCAAACTGGTATTAACTGAGTAGCACCTAAGTGGACACATAGGTACTACAGTAATAGGGTATTGGGCAGGTAGGAGGGGTGAGGGGGGGCAGGTGTATACATACATAATGAGTGAGATGTGCACCATCTGGGGGATGGTCATGATGGAGACTCAGACTTGTGGGGGGAGGGGGGAAATGGGCATTTATTGAAACCTTAAAATCTGTACCCCCATAATATGCCGAAATAAAAAAAGCCCCCCCAAAAAATCATAGTACAAATTAGAACCCCCTAAAATCTTTACATAATTTATTACCTTCATTATTGGAACTACTGCAAAGATTAAATATATAGCATAGCAAAATATAAGAAATAATACTGACAATTTAAAATAGTGGGAAAAAACAGCAAAGAAAATTCAACATGTGGAAAAGTATATTACAGGGATAGATTAGGGACATTTGGGTGGGAGTCTTCCCTAAGAGTCAACTAAATTTCACAGTCATTAAGTATATTTTGAAGACTTGCATCACAATAAATGACTGCACTTTTTCTTTTAGGGCATGGCTCTCCTAGGAGAATACATCCCGTTCATTTTCTACATGGTTCTGACCTTTCTGAAATTCTTTTATAATTTGATATACACCGATATAGGCATTCCCTATTAAATTTCCCCAAATTCTATGCCATTCCACATGCACTCATATACAGATCCCAAATTTGGTGGAAACAATACTGGTGATGGAACAGCAACACCATTGCTTAAGTGTCTTCATATCCTCCCATGCACATTTTTGAGGCAGTCAGTAACTTCCCTGGCTTCTTCAGGCAAATGTGCCCTTAATTCATTAAAAGCTCCTAGAATTTCAGCAGCTGGAGGGAATGCCAATTCAAATGCACAAATGACACATTTTCAAATTAAAGTTTTCACCAGTGCCATGTTGTGTGGCCAATTCATTCCTCTAAGTTTTCCACCACATGCGAATAAAGGCAACAAGGTAAGAGCTCTGCCTAATGTGATGCAGCTAATACGATGCAATTATCCTATGTGTAACCAGAAACACACCAATCCCTTCCCCAGAATTCAGCTTTCAGGATTTCAACATTTGGGATTTTAATCTTTTGGGATTATGATTTTCAAGATTTTAAATGTTAGGGATTTTAGATGTTAGGGAGTTTGATCTTTGGGGATTATGTCTTTCAGGATTGTGATGGGCACTGGTCCCAAGATCACTGCAAATGATCCCAAGATCCCCAGCTGTCCCCTCACCCCAACTCCTCCCTGCTCCTAACCCCTAAACACCCCATTCATCACTCCACACCCACATATCTTCCTGACTTCTAAGCATATAAACTCTTCCTTCAGAAGCAGGGTACTGAGGTCACTTACAATACACAGAGAGGCTGTCATAAATAATGTTGAAGTCCTCATTGTCCCACTGTCTTGGGCCAGGGCCTTGTAAGGTCAGCTTTGCAAAAGCCTGCCAAGTGTCCAGCAGAAGGAAAGGGCTTACCCACGAGCCTGCTCAGTCCCTTGCAGACATTCCTATCCGTCAAAGTCAGGGAACTGAACGACAATACAGCATCGCAGGGTGTATGAGACTGTGTGTCTGTGTGCACAGAGAGAAGTGCACGTGTGTCTGCACAGCCCAGATGTCTGCATCTGTCTGTGCCCATGTATCTGACAACCCCAGTGTGGCCCAGTTTCCAACTGAGGATCAATGATTGGGTTTTTGTGAATTAGCAAGGAACTAACAGGAGTGCCTACAGCAGGGCTTGGGGGACAATCTGGTGTTGGGGGTGAAGGGGACTTGAATGTATGTTTGCATAACACTTTACAAAGTATGAAGGAAGAGGTGATTGTACAAAGAACATGGGGTGCTCAGGAAGATTACAGGAAACCTAAAGCTTCCCAATGCCACATCAGCCCTTGACCCTGCTCTGGCGTGGGAGACACTTCCCAAGGCCATTGCACACTGTCACTCATAAGGTTTACCTGTGTAAATGTGACCCCACCCTTCTTGCTTGCTCCTTGTGATTTGCTGTGTCTCTATCTGTGCTCTCTCTTTTCTCTCAACTCCTAACATTTTGTTCACACCATTCCCATAGAACTTAGGGATGGTGAGATTTTCAAGAGTGGGGATGGGTCTTAAGTCACCTCTGTACCCCAGCACCAAGCAGAGCCTGGCACAGGGTAGGTGCTCAGGCAACATTGGTTATAGAAGAGGTACATTTGCTGTCTAGAGTATACAGATCTTTTCCTAATTAACAGGACATCATTTTAGACTATGCCCAATGGCTCTGCAGTGAATCATCTGATACATAGCTCCCATCAAAATCCTGGCTGTACTACTGATGCTCCATGGAAGGGGGGGGAAAAACTTAACAAAGCTTCTCCAACATTTCTGCCCTAAGAGGAGAGAAGGTGAAACTGTGTTCCTCATGAGAGTTTCCAGACATAGCCTAAAAGCATTCCCTAACCCACTGCCCTACAGAATCGCCACTTAAAGAGCTGACATCTCATTTCACCAGTGACTTTGTCCAGAGCCAATAAAACAACCAGTACTACATGGAATGTCTACATATTAAAATAAATTATTGCTATTGTGGGCATTATCCTGATGTCTGGTGTGCCTTTTCTTTTGCTTTAGGCAAACTCATAAAGAGAGGAAGTGAATCCACGTGGTCTGGAATGGAAGGAAGACTGCACCCGCTTAGCCCAGCAGAAGTCTAGGAGGTTCCTGTTGATGATACAAATCACTGTAGAAGCCAGGGAGGATGGCGAGGAAACAGGAGATGACAGTACATGATCTATGCAGCTGCAGAAACACGTAAGAGGATGACAGACCCAAAGAAAAGAAGACTTCCTGGAGAAAGTGACAGCTAAGCTAAGAACATGAAGGTTGCACAGGACTTAGCTGACAGTGGGGCTGGGGAGGGTTAGGAGTTCCTCACAGAGGAAATGGCACCGGGAAAGGCAAGAAGGAGCATGACTCATCTGGGAAAAAGGGAAGGAGTTTTTTATGTCTGAAACGCAAAACATAAGGGGGAAGATGAAAGATGAGAAATAGTGAAAAAGTTTTTATCTGAGCGCAAAGGGATGACATCAAAGGATTTCAATGGGGACAATACTTAGCCAGATAGACATTTTTAAGCTACTTCTCTGGCAGCAGTGTGGATGATGGGTGGGGGAGAGGGGTATGGAGAGACCTAGAAAGATGCAGTTGCTAGGAGATGAGGTTGTGGTGGCTTGAACTGGGATGGTGGAGTGGGAATGGAGGCAGCAGATAGATCCAAAAGATATTTTAGAAGTGGAATGGGCAGGACTTGGTGAATGGGTGGGTGTGGGATTGAGAGAGAGGAAGGAATCCAGCTTGGCTCCCACTTTGGGATACTGGTGACAGGACATTCGCTGGGCCATGATTTACCATGGGGAGGGTCCCCATGCATACTCAAGGACATCTTCCTACACGGTAGGCCAAGCCAATCCATCTTATCTGCTCTGTTCCAGCTCTGACATATCTGCCACTGGATGGATAAACAAGTGGGCTTCTTTCACCAATATCTCTTGGCTTTGAGGGAGGCCACAGGAAACCTGCTTGGACCACCAGGTCTGTCTTGTGTCCCAGCACGGCTTCCCAGAAAGCCCTGCGGTGGCAGCAGAAAGGGAGGGCAGTATGCGGAGGAAAGAGGCATGAGGTACTTGCCCGGCTATTAATATCACTAGAGTAGTATTTTGTATTTTGTTTCAGTGCTTATCCCTGGGGAATTAGGATCTCTCCATGAGGAATCCCAGAGTCACAAAGGCATGAATGGTGAGGACTGGGTTCCTACACCTTGTTATAAACTCCGTCGTCATTAAGCTTTGTAACCTAACACTGGTGCATGGTAACCCTAACACTGGCGCATTGCCAGAAGAAACAATGAAGGAAGAAAGGTAAATACAGACATTTTTAATCCACAGCAGCAAAGTCTGCCCCAATTTTCCCACTAAGTCCTAAGAAGGGCTCCTACCCAGGGCCATTTGGGGCAGAGTCCTTCTTCAACCTTGCTGAGAAAGTTCTGACCACCCGGCTTCCCAGCATCTCAGGATTCCTGATGAAGTCCCCAGGATTCCTTGGACCCAAGCCAAGCTCTCACGGAAACTGGCACTTAGTCCAGCCACTAAAACCAGGAAGGCTGAGAGGGGAGAAGGAGCACTGGCTTGGGAGCCGGCCACCATGCTGCACAACCGCAGAGGGCGCTGCTGACACCGTGTCTCTGTGAGCTCTAGAGCCCTTTGGTGCTGTGGGTGCTGGCAACCTGGCTGGAGAGTTGAGAAACCGTGTCCCACTGCTGAGTGCTGACCTGTCTGCGTCACCCCTGACGTACTTGACAAAACATCGGGCCTTGCGTCCTTGGCTCCAGCACGCCGGGCTCCATTCACGGGTCCCACACACCACTAACATTCCATGTCTAAAATGCAACGGTGCTTCCCTAGGCTGGAATTCTCAATATTTATTTGTAATGAGAGGAAAAGTCCAAAAGGAAAAAAAAAATGTCAAAATATAAAAGCACTCTGCCCCCTTCCACATGGTCAAAACTAAAGAGCCCAGGCTTGACAAAGGAGCCAGAAAAAACTCATCTAAGGGCCAAGGAGGTTTCCTAAGATACAAAAGCACTCTGCCCCCTTCCACATGGTCATGAACTCTGCCAGACCTGGGCTTAGATGGCCACCCACCCTTCCCGTAGTTTAATGACTGTGTCCTCTGCTGAGCCCGCCAGCCCCACCCTGCACCCTGCTTTCCCCACCACCAGGGCTCCTTCACGACAAGCCCCCGCATCCTGGGCCCCTTTCCAGCCAGAGGGCTGCAGTGTTGACATTTATCTCTGGGGCACTTGATGCATAATTATAAGAGAAACAAAGGAAACATATTTGTAATAAATCCTGAACCAAAAAAAAAAAAAAAGATGTCATTAAAACGTTGGGCTCCTCCTGAGTGGCCTTGGCAGAAAGAAGCGAAGACAGGGAGATATTTGCTTGTTAGTTTCAGCATCTTTCGTTTGCTCCCCACTCTTTCTCATAGAGGAGGACCTAGACGTGGTAATGCGCAGAGCCAGCGAGCCCCTCGTGGTGGAGTGAATAACGTGAGCTCAGAGGAGAAGGAGAATCTCCATTTGCTCCAGGCTTGCAGGGAACAGGGGGACCAGCAAGAGGCGACAAAGATGAAGAGCTAGACTCCAGGGCTCTTAACTTGAAGTCCATCAACTTTCAAATTATCTGTAGATCATTTAGGGGGCCCTAGAACTTGGGGAAAATTACATCTTTATTTCTACAATTCTAACTGTTCCTTTATGAATGTGGGCCACAAACCACAATTGTACAAGCAGTTCCTGTGATGTCACATGAATAGAAATCACACATTGTCTTATTACTTTATAGTTGTCAGAGCTCCTTAAAATATTCCTTAGACTTCCCACCACTTTGAAAGTATGGCAGTTATTAGACCAACTGCTAATTCTTGTTATTTAATATGTTAATAAAGAACCACTCATAGTACTAACCAAAAATGTAGTTAAAGTTTTTAATATTCTTATTGCTGTATTTTAACATAATTGACTTTCTTTGTAACCACTTGTATCTTTTAGAAGTTTCTTCTGAGAAGGGCCTATGGGCTCCAAAAAATTGCCAAGGGACCTACACACAAGAGAGTTAAGAACCCCTGGTTTAGAAAGTGAAAGTATGGTCTACCGACTTTACGGTTTTACAAACCAAAGCCCGTCCAACTTATGTTTCATCAAATGAAGTCTTTGCCCATCAATTAATTACCAGGGGCCGGGGGAGGATGGTGTTTAAATGTAGATTCCCAGGACCTATATCCAAACTACAAAAATAGAATCTTGGTATCGGAACCCGGGAATCTTTGCTACCAATGGCTCCCAGTAGGGCTGCCCCACGTGCTGCCGCCAGGTGGGTGTGGCCTCCTGGGCAGCACACCTTGGAGTGGCTGGACTTCCTTGGCCAGGTAGAACAGCCTGCACAGCTTCACCTGGGAACTCTGATTCTCTAGGTGATTTCCAATCCTCACTAAAGCTTCTCAGCAAAGGAGAGAAGGGCTAAACCCCTTGGTTTGGGCTTTTGAGTTTGGGAAGTGTCTATTTGTTTATGAGGGCTGCCATAACAAATTATAACAGACTATGGTAACTTAGAAAAACAGCAATGTATTCTCTCACAGTTCTGGAGTCAGGAGTCCAAAATCAAGCTGTCGGTTGGATTGATTCTTTCTGGGGGCTCTAAGAAGATCTGTTCCATGCTTCTCTCTGCGTGGTGGTTGCTGGCAATTCTCTGCATTCCTTAGCTGGTAAGTACATCCCTCCAAACTTTGTGTCCATCTTTACATGGTGGTCTCCCCATGTCTCCGTGTCTGTTTCTTGTGTGTCCAAATTTCCCTCTACTTACAAGGACACCAGTCATAACGGACTTGGGACCCACTCTAATTCAGTATGGCCTCAACTGAACTTGATTGCATCTGCAAAGACACTATTTTCAAATAAGGTCATGTTCATAGGTTCCAGGTGAACATGAATATGGGGAAAACATTATTGAACCCAGTACAGAGGGGATTTTTAAAAAAAAAAAATTTAATTATTAATGACTGACCTTCCTCCCATCCCCAGGAAGGAGCCAGTAATCTATCACAGTGGTCCTCCAGTGCAGTGCCAGCAGCAGCCTCACGTGGGAACTTGTTAGAAATGCTAACTATCAGGCCTCTGGTACCAGAACCCCTGCGATGGGCCCAGTGATCTGTGTTTTCACAAGTCCTCCAGGAAATTCTGATGCCTGTTCAAGCTTGAGGACCTTAAGAAGTATGTGGGAGTCTTCCCTCCTGGTTGAATCATCCATTCGTTCAACAAACTCTTAGAGGACAGTGCCCCAGCTGCTGAGGTTACAGCTGTGTTCAAGTCCTGGTCTCTACCCGCTTGGATCTTACCCTGGATGGAGAGATCAGCACACAAGACTGCATAACCCACGTGGATTGGGTGGAACCACCTGTCCTTGGCAGTGAACAGTTGTGACCCATAGAAATGGCAATTTCACGTGGCTTGTCCTAAACGAAGCACAAGGTTTCAAGGTGGGCCACAGAAGCCTCCCGGGGGTTGTGCTCACATGTCCTGAGACGGCAGCATGACTCAGGGAAGGCTCGAATCAAAACTGGGGCAGAGAAGCCCAGACGAGGAAACAGCATGTGCAGACGCCGGGAGGTGTGGGAGCCGAGGCGCTGGCTGGCCTGTGGGACAGAGGCCTCTGTGGCCTGCGGAGAGTCCGGGCTGCCCCCTCCCTGGCTCCTGCCTTTGCCACGGCCACCTCACAGTCACCTCAGTCTCAACCATGGGAAGTTGCATCTAGACGCCAGGCACCAAGATACTGAAGCTCCAGCACCTGCCACTGGACTTTTAACGTCTCCTCTTCCCCCGTGAGCACCCGGCCGACTTCTCCATTGGGCGAAAGAGCACTGTGCTGAGGGCTGCCATATTTAGGAGCCCACAAATATGTTTTCATTCCTTTCAAATCCAAAGGAAAAACAAAGGAACTTACAGGGTTGAATAAAATGTTTTAATTTTTTTTTTCTCACATCAGCAAAAATGAAATATTTAGGGCCCCTAAAAGGCCATGAAATTATTTTCATATGTTTTCATGGAGGAAAGGCCCACAAAGGCAACAGTGCCTCAAGCTCATGGAAGTCACAGCGTGGACCTGAATGAGATGACTTCCAAACAGTGAGGGTGGGAGGCCAGTGTCCCTTGGATCAGCTTCAGGGGTTTCACGAATGCTGGCACAGAGGCTTGGAGACCCCAGGAGGTCCCTTCCACTGGAGGTTTCCATCCAGGTTTTCCAGCCCAGTCACTCCCAGGAGTCCCCTGGGTACTTCTTTATCCACTGAGAATGGAGAAAACAGACATCGAAGGAGCAGAAAGAAGGGGTTTGGAGATGCTGGGGGACTCTCAGAAACAGAGCCAGCCCCCAGCAGCTTGAGAAGTCAGAAGGAGGGCCTTGGAGAGTCCCATAAACCTGGGCGTGAGTCCAGGCTCTGCCTCACGGGCACTGTGTCACCTGGGCAAGGCCTCCCAACTCCTCTGAGCCTCAGATTCTTATCTGTAAAATGCTGTGACTTCTCTGTTCTCACTGAACACCCTTCATGATATATTAAATAGGCCTGATCCATCTGTTTATTGTGTGAATCAAATGATATCTCATGAACCACATAACTCAGGTCAAGCACATGGCAGGTGCACAGAAAGAGCCCATCCTCTCTACTATTTTAAACATAGATTAAGAAAAACATCACCAGACTGCCTCCACCTTTTTATCTCAGAGATGTAGGGATGCCCTAGAGCCCAAAGATTTTTTTTTACCACTCCATGCCTCATCAAACTGTCCTTCTCACATACCCCCACTCTGTCAATGACTTGGTACTTCGCTGAACCAAGGGTAGGATCAGAGAGAAAACCCCAGAAATGGGGACTCATGAAAGGTTGGGCAATGGGGAAACATACTCCTGTTAGAAAATAGCCCATGCTCAGGTCTCCCTATCTATTGGCAAGATTTTGGTACCCAGAGTGAGCAAGACCAGACCTGCAGTGCTCCTGCCATAGAGGGTGCATGCCTGAGATACACGCATTAGTGTACTATGGTCACAGGACATGAAGGCCCCTGGGTCTGGGCTGGTAACGGAAGCTTAGTTTTCTCAGGCTCTCCCAAAATCCCTGCCTTTTACAACTTAACTAAACATTGTTGAATGTCTTCTAGGTACCCAGTTGCTGAGGATACTGAGATAAGCAAACTCCAGCCCCTGTCCTCAAGGATGGGGAAGCCACTGGCACCTTCACAGCTCGCTGTCCTCCACCAACAGCCGTGTTTTGAGGGCCTGCTCCAAGCCAGACCCCACACTCGGTGCGTGTCATAGGACATGTCATTCAATCCTTTTAACATTCCTGCTGTAAGGGGTCCTACCTTTAAAAGAGAAACTGAGCCTCAGAAAGTTTAAGTAACTTGTTCAAGGTCACACAGCTACAGTGACAATAAACTTGTGGGGAAGTGATTCTATCTTGGTCTTGCTGGAGGAGACCCAAAGAATTAAAAAGTCATTTTCTAAACACATAGCCAAGGAGAAAATTTAACATAACTTCTATTTTTGTTTGTTTGATTTAGTTTGATTCCCTCCTTCCTCCCTCCCATCCTTCCTTCCTTCCTAAAGAAAGACTTAAAGAGCTGAAATAGCTGCATTGGCTGAGAGGGGAACCGTTCAATGCACAGGAAGACTGAAGAGAGGTGACCCACACTGAGATGTCATGTGGCTTCCCCGAGATTGGGAAAGAAACAATGGTTTAAAGTCTCTGAAAGCGGAGATCTGTACCACTTTATCTCCCTTTGGGGGGATAACTGAGCGATGGCCCTAGGGAGACCATGAGGCCACAAGCTGTGGGAATCTCTACCAGGACCCCCTGGCCAGGCTTGGGATGGAGGAAGATGAGGGGCCTCCTTCAAAGCAGTACTTGCAGACTATGAGCAATTATTTCTCCATAGTGGACCCAAGGCCAGAAACTTGCACAAGATCTTGCTGAATTACCTAATTCCTGGGACTTCTTTATGTTCCCAAGGAAGAGAAAAAGAACCCCTGACGGCCCCCAAGAAAAAGACACAACTAAGAATGGGGTTCCTGCCAGCCCTGGCAGGTGGAGAACCAAGCCAGATTTATTTGCTTTAGAAAAATAAAGAAAACGTGACGCCGCTCACACCCAGGCGTCTCGGAGCAAATCTGCGCAGGTTCCAGCTGGGGCTGGGAATGTCACGCATCCCAACCTCCCTCAAAAGAACACGGGGCTTCCAGCCTCTGCCCCATCAGAGAACGACTCTTTCCCCACTAAAACCGTCACTTCTGGCTTGGTGTTCATGAAGCCACAACGCAGCTGGCGAAAATGCAGCAATTAACTGGAGCGCGCCTGAAAGATGATCACAATAATTTATATTTCTCCACCACCCTCCATCCCCCCACGAGCTTTCCAGATTTTATGGTCATGACTCACCTCCGCTACTGCTGTGGGGTGGCTCCTAGGGAGCGGGCTCGCTCGCGGCACACCGCAGTTGAGGCAGAACGTTAGAAAAAACACCCAGCTAATTACAAGTGAAGCGCTCCCTGTCACGAGCAGGCCAGCTGACTTCATGCCTGGGCGGCAGAAACGCGATAAAACTCCCAAGTTGGTCCTTATAGTTTTTAAAGTCAGATTGCTCAGCCATGATCTCACAGCCCTGCACCCCAGCCAGTGGCCCTGAGCCAGTCTTTGAAATATGACCTCAGACGGGGCTGGTGACGGAGTGGCCGTTTCTGGCAGGGGTCGTCGTAAGTCAGTTTCTCTACGAGGGCTCATCCTTCTCGGGCTGCCTGGGAAGGCCCGTGTGCCTTCCTCACCCTCCCCGCCGGCAACCTCTGGCTTGATCCAACGGCCAGGCCACTGACAGCCCCGTAGCAGCACTGCGCTTTCTCAGGAGCAATCCCCTCTTGCTCAATTCCTACGGCATTTCTCTCCCTGCCAGACACTTGGCCCTTGGCCACACTCGCTCCTGTAGAGCTATCCAACCCCATTCAATCAGCACATGTCTATTTGGAATCATGATATAATAGCACAGTGGCTGAGGATGCGGCATTTGGATTAAGAAATGATACAAGTTTGTATTCTGCATCTCCCCATCACCAGCTACATGAACTCAGGCAAGTCATTTCATCCTAGCCTCATATCCTCTTTCTGTAAAGAGAAAGGAAATGGCACATACCCTGTGCAGGGCTTTGGGTAGGGATTGATGCACAACACCATTGTGAAGGCAACAATTTGCAGCTTACACCCAACCAGCAATGGCGACTGTCTCTGGCTGGGGTGGACCCCCATGTAAGAGTCCTTCACTTTCCAAAGGAGTGCCCTGGTTTGGTGATCCATGCGGTCAATTGTTTCTGATGGTTCCAGGCTTTGGGATCTTGGCATCGCTTTGGAAGCCATTCCTGTGACTCTTGCCTGCCTGTGCATGACCAAAAGATTTTCTGAAGACAATATCAGAAAGAGGAGAGGGTCCTAGCATCAGCTCATACTCTCAAACTATATAATTTCCCTTAGGGATTTAATGCAGAGAGCTCTGCAGGCCAGCTCCCCAGACTCTCCCAGTTCATCCTGACTTGATTTACAATAAGAGCTCGCAGGGTTGCCTGGCGTGGAAGACTGACCCACCACTGGACTCGCAAAACTAGGACTCTGGATTCAAGTCCTAGCCCTGCCACTTTCTAGCTGTGTGATCTTCAAGAAATCACTCAGCCTCTCTGAGCCCCATTTTCTTGATCTCTCTACAAGTTTATCAAAGTCTATCACCCGTGCTCAATGTGAGGATCAAATGGAAAAATGGAAGAAAATCCATTATGTAATACTAAGTAGGAGAAACAAACTAGCCAGTAGCAGGCACTCCCCTGCAAAGAAATCACCACCTGCCTCTGAGTATCTCAATGTAAATCAACAATTATTGTGCCAGGCATTGAACTAGAGATCCCAGAAGCAAAGATTTTAAGGATAAGAAACTTATCCCAAATTCCATCTGAGTCCCCACAAGCCACCCTACAAAAAAACGGCACTCTTCACATTTCATGGGAAACAAATCCTCTTCATAATACCTGCAGGTAGCTGACAGGTGAGCTCTTCATGCTCCTTTGCCCCACTCACTCCTGGGTCACCTGGGATGCCACAGACCCACAAGCCAGTGCCTTCCCTGGCTCCACAGAAATGCCTCTTGCCTCAATAATTTCATCTTTACTGAAGATTTGGAGAATCCCGGCCAGAGAAAATGTTATGCAGGACACATTGTGTTCCACCATCTCCCTGGTTACCCCTCCATGTCCCCCGGGTGCAACCTCCAAGCCATCCCCCTGTGTTACATCAAGTGTCCCACCTAATGCAGCCCTGCAGAGCTCAGTGTCTGCCGCTGGAGAGAACTCACCAAGGCAGGTTCCCAACAAATACAGGTTTCACCCCATAGGAATCCTCGCACCAGAGTCTAAGAAAATTAAACTTTCTCAGTAGTATCACACAAGCGCAAGGATCCCTAGAGCATCAAGCAGGACACACGTATCAGAGGAAAGGCTCAAGATCAGGGGTCCAAATGTGCAGAGACGAGAGCCAGTTCTCAACCAGTGGCGCCCCCGGGGCTACCTCTACATCAGGTCTTCAAGAACAGGGCAGACGCATAAGCAGGAACAGCACAAGGGGAAGCTCAAAGGCAGGAAGAGGCAGGACAGGTTCAGGCAGCAGTGAGCGGGTATGTCTGGCTGCAGTCGTGAGGGTGGAAGGTGCAAGAGCAGAGAGGGGCAGTAGAAAAAGCCTCCAAATGCCACATGAGAGGCCTGAACTATTTTTCTTCTAAGAAGCTGGGTCTCTGAGTGCGACAGGTGGACCGCAAGAAGCAGGAGCCAGAGATACCGATGGTTAAGTCACACCAGCCACCCCAAAATGCAAAGTGAGGACCTGGGGCTGGAAGCAGGGCAAGAGCAAAGGAAGGAAATGAAGGCAACTGGAAAAAATGAAGC